GGGCTCAGGCAATCCACTCACCTCAGCCTCCCAAAGTGCGGGATTACAGGCTGAGCCATCAAGCCCAGCTTAATTTATGTTTAATACAAAAAGCTTGCTGGGCGTGATGAATTATGCCTGTAATCTCAGTACTTTGGCAGCTTGAGGCGGGAGGATTGCTTAAGCCCAGGAGTTTGAGTCCTGCTTGGGCAACATAGCAAGACCTCATCTCTACCAAAAAAAAAAAAAATTGAAGTTAGCCACGCATGGCGGAGCATGCCTGTAGTCCCAGCCACTCAGAAGGCTGAGAGGAAAGAATGACCATAGCCCAGGATCAATGAGCCATGATTTTGCCACTCCAGCCTGGGGGCCAGAGGGAGACCCAGACTCAAACAACAAACAAAAAAAGAAAAATTGTAGAGCTAGTCTCCTCTAGGTGTTGTGTTCTGTGCATTTTGGGGGGCTATGCTCTGCTCACCTAATAGTTAAAATGATGATGACTTCCTTAGGCTTAGCAAGGCACGAGGGAGGAGAGACAGGCACAGTCTCTTGGGTTCCTTTGAGAGGGAGGCTCTGGGAGGCACCAGCTGAGGCAGTAGGGGCAAACCTCGTGCTCAGCACGACCTCTGGTTCTCCAAGGTTAACTCTGCGTGTTTCAGGGATGGCTCCTGGGTGAAGCTGCCTGTGGGCCCAGACTTTTCAAGTCAGAGGCTAGGGGTTAGATGGCAAGAACTCCAGGCAAGAGGTTTCTAAGGGCAGGAGACTTTAGGCAAGGTCTGCTGTGCTCTGGGGGGGTGGGGGTGGGCGTGGGTAGGTGGCCTCATCCCGGGGAATCGGGAAGCTAAGCACTGAGCCAAGCACTCCGTCTCCTGGTTGGGCTGAGATTCCTCTACCTGCTGTGAAGTTGAAGGCCCTCTTCCTCCTTCCCTCTACTGCTTCCCGTCCCCCATCTCCGCCTGTTTAAACACAAATTTTCTGGTGGGAAAGCACAGGACTTCAGCAGTGAGCTGAGTTCTGGGAATGCCAATCTAGTCAGGGTGCTGTGATCCCGTCAGAGCAAAGTCCCAGTCTAACTATTGCCTGTGACCAGCACGTAGTCAGGGCTCTCTCTTGTGCTGTCTGAGCCTCTACTATCCTTCAGCTCTATCCTAAAGAGGTATCTGGACCTCAAACAAAGCACAAACCCACTGTGCTTCCTGGAGCACCAGCAAAACCTGTGGTTTAACAGCAGTGAGTTCATTCACTTTTAAAATAACCCTGTGTTTAGTCTTTGCAATACAGTCAAACTACTTGCTGTGAATCTAGCAGATAAAGGGAAATCGAATGTAGTCAAATATAAGGGCACCTCTGTGGAGGAAACAAAGCAAACAGACAGGCCTGCACCATGCACACCCAGATTCTCAGGCAGCTGGCCCCCAGGCATGGGGAGAGAGAAACAAGCTCACTCTGCTGCGGATCTTCCGCTCTTCTGCAGACCAGCACCAGGTGGGTTGCAGGAGGGCGGCACAGCATTGACAAGAATTGCTTGTCTTGGGGACTCTGCACAACAGGTGAGCTGGGAATAGCAGCAGGAGCTGCACAGCCTGTTATGGGCAGCGCCCTCAACTCAGCTCTCCAAACTCAGGTGCTGAGTCTTAATAGGGTTGCTGGATGTGGCAAGTAAAATATAGGACACCCGGTTTGCTTCGCATTTCAGATAAACTGCAAACCATTGTTTAGTATAAGTATGTCCTAAATGTCACATGGGGCATACTTACACTAAAAAAAAAATCACTTGCTGTATTCGGAAATTCCAAGATAATTGGGCTTTCTGTATTGTATCTGCCAACTCAAGATCAAGAACTCTGTTCTTGAGTTTGAAATCCAGCCCACCTTTTTTACTTTATTGGGTTTGAATTGGTGGGACGCACCACCAGGGTGGGAACCTATTGGCCACTTCAGTCCCTTGTCCCCACACCCTGCCCCCCAGTGACTGAGGGAACCTGCTTGTCTCTAGGAAACCCAACATTTTAACAGCGTGAGCAGAAGACCCCAATAAAACCCCTTGGGCAGGCTAGGGGGAAGACTGGTAGCATCTGCGGGCCACCTAGTCCTCTTCCTTCCTCCCTCATCCTGATCAACTGGTGTGGGGACCCAGCGTGCCATGGCCGTAGCCTCTCCTGAGGACTGTGCTGTGTTAACAGTGGTCTCTTGGGTCCTTCCACTTCTGTTTCATAAGACCCATTCTATCTTCTTGAGAGAAGGAGGATAGAAAAGTCTAGAAATAAGGCCTATCCCCCTATTCTGGGCTCGGCTCTCTAGTGGCCATTGTCTCCAAGGCCGAGATTTTGTCCCCTGCCTGGATTCCCCCAGCCCCACCAGCAGCCCCCTCCTGTGGAACAAAGTCGACCAGCAACCCCCCTACCATCTCTATTGGTGTCCATCTGGCGGAAGATCTTTTCTGTCCTTTTCTCTGGGGTTGACTCGTCTTCAGGCATTTTCATTACAGAGGAAACCATCTTATAGATTGCCTGGGGGACAGAAACAATGTGGTGAAAAGACAGAAACACAGTTTGACACACAATACCTCCATCCTTAAACCTCCCAAACATAGGAATGAAGGGAATGTCCCCATGCACACTGAAGCTAGTCCTGTCCCTGCTGATCTATGTAGGACACGGAGGGATAGGCACTGGTACAAGAAGCCAGGCCAGCAGAGCTTGCTGTTCTCCAGAGAGAACTTTCAGGAGGACAACTGCCAAGAAGACCCACTGATCCCTATGTCTTCAATGTTAATGTGCATATGAACTCCCTGGAAATTTTGTGAAAATGCAGTCTGATTGAGTAGGGCCGGGGGAGCGATTGGGAACTGAAATGCTGTATTTCTACCACTTAAGCTTCTGTGGGATGCCAATGCTGCTGTTCTGAGGACTCCGTTTTTTTTTTAAATCAAGGTCTCACTCTGTCACCCAGGCTGGAGTGCAGTGGCACGATCACGGCTCACCACAGCCTCGACCTCCAGGGCTCAGGTGATCCTTCCACCTCAGCCTCCTGAGTAGCTGAGACTGCAGGCATGTACTACCCTGCCAGGCTAATTTTTTTGATTTTTTTTTTTTGTAGAGATAAGGTCTTGTTATGTTGCCCAGGCTGGTCTCGAACTCCTGGGCTCAAGTAATCCTCCTGCCTCGTCCTTTCAAAGTGCTGGGATTACAGGCATAAACCATGGTGTCCAGCCTCTGAGGACCCACTTTGAGGAGCAAGATGACATTTCCCAGGCTGGAGGGACAAGTGGATGTCTATCATGGTGTCCACAGAGGCCACCAAGGATGATAAACATGCAATAGTCTATAAGCGTGTACCCGCATTTTCCCGCAGGCACTCTCCTGGTCCATCCCAATGCTATTCCCCTTCCCCCATGTGTCAGTGTCCTCACATTCCTTCTCAGCAATTTCCCGGGTAGCCCTGAGATAAAAACAATTTGCCATCAGTGCCTTGGATTACATAATTATGCAATCCTGGGCCTGAGCTAAACTGGGTACAGCTGTTAAATCTGATGGCCGAAAGAGGAGTGTACACAAACAGTTTTGTAAGCAGTGCTGAAACGATCTCTGACCTGCCTGTGACCTCTGCCAGGACCTCCCTAAGGTCCACAGCCTCACTTGTCAAAGGTAGCTTTATTTGGAAAAAGTAATGTAAAGTCATTGCTTGTATCTCCAGATCATGACTTTGCTAATCAGAGTCACTTTGGGCACTTTAGAGCTAGAAAAAACTTGTAGAAAAAGTAGATTTTGCCAGGGGGTAGGAAGAGAATTCCAGAATGTTCTGGAGCTCTGGGGGCAGCAGGCTAGCTGGATAGGGCAGAGACAAGAAGGCAGCTGAGAGGAACTGGGATATATGGGAACAAAAAGGAATACTAAAGGCTCAATCTAGCTGCTTTCTGGTCCTGTTCAAGGTCAACCCTGCCTGAAGTCCCTAAAGCATTCTGGAGCTAAATAGTCTCATCTCAGTCCATAAATTAAGAATGAAAGTGGATTCTCCTAGTGTGCTAGCCGTTGGCCTGTTCCTGTCCCTTAGGGACCCCTGAGGCCAGACTCCTTGAATCTGCCTTGAATGCACCCCATGCCTTTGCAGATTTCCAGAGCCGCCCTCACTCACAGCTACTCAGTCTGAGAGGAAGGTCAGACTCAGAGTTATGGCCCTGTCTGGAGTGTCACTGGGGTGAGAACTTTTCTAAGAAATGTTCACTGACATGTACTTTGGAGGCAAGAGGTAAGCCATCATCTGCCCTCCTCCCAGACCCCTGGCTTGCTGTCCCCCTCAGCATGGGTCTATGCCACCCCCTGTGCTGGGGCTGTAGCGCCATATGCCTCACCGTTGGGGACACCTAACTCCTTGGGGGAGCTAGGAAAGGCCAAAGGGCCTTTTTACAAATGGGGAAAGGGAAGCCCTGGGGTTTAACAGGCTCAGGTGAATATTTAGTGACAGTGAACCCAGAGTCTCCTCGTTCCAGCCCAAGTTGGGGGTCCAGCCACCACTCCTCAATTCTCTTTGCTCCCACAATGGAAGCTTCTTTGTAAGTCTTGACCTAGCCCAGATGGAATCAGGGGCACCGATTGATGAAAGCGCGCACACAAACACACACACACACACACACACACACACACACACACACACACGCACATATACCTCTTACACAATCCAAATATTTTGTGAATTCATAAGCCAGGATCTTAGGACAATAACAACACCATAATCCCTAGAATCCAGTATCCCACTAGCGCACAGTAGTACAACGTCTTTAAAGGACCAAGGGCGGACCAGTTTGGGGAGCTGAAGGGCTGTTTTGGAAGGAACACTTATGAACAGTGATAAGATTATCTTTTGCCAGAAGATGTAGAGGGGTGCTGTGTAATTTTTCAACTTCAAACTTCTTTGGGGATGAGTTCCTCCCCTGAGTCAGTTAATCTCAGTTGGCACTTCTGAATGCCACTTGTTTTGTGCCCAGAACTGGCCAAAAGGGGCACCTTCCTGCTTAGATATTGCACAAAGGTTGTTGGCAAGAGTCCAACAACCTATCGGACACACGCACTGGTTTTCTGGACTCGTGGCTCCTCTCTCATCTGAACGCTTACCTAGTCCTTCTTCACTCCTCCTTGAAATCTTACCCATGTGTTAAGAACAGATATAAATGTGACCCTCCTCCAGGAAGTCTTCCATGGTTTTCCTTCCTTCTATTGCTATGTAGTCTCCCTTGATCCGTGCAAGCAAACGTTTCCTTCTCAATCTCTCTTGGATCATTTCCTTGCACCGACCTTGAATTCCAGTTACCTAGGATGCTCTCCTTGCAGATGTGAGGGTGGCGGTCAGATCTGGCTGTTATTCTTTGAGCCTCTGATAGTACTAGACACAGGGCCTTGCAGAGAGTCAACTTCACTAAGTTCAGAGAATCCATTCATTCATTCAAGAATAACTGCACTCACCCTAATCACCTTCTCTCATGTTCCTTCTTTCTCACCTTCCTTTTGCTCTGCTTTTCTTTACAGAGTCCCCTCTTTATCTTTTTGTATTTTTTTTCTCAGCTTGCCTCTCCTTTTCTTTTTCTCCTCCTCTCATCATACAATTAAAATATTCATATAATTAAAAGTAATCTTAAACCCTTAAAGACTCTTAATCTGCCACAAGCCACGGGCTTTCCCCTTAGAAACCATGCAGACATACCCACTTACCACTGCAGACAATCTCAGGGGCTCGGGGATTTGGAAGACCATCCGCTGACCCTGGGTTATAAAAATCCCTGCTTCTAGGTCTCTCTTGCCCCATTCTCACTCAACCATCCATTCACTAAGTCATTCATTGAATGTGTATTGAGCAACTACTATATGCCAGGTATTATGACTGGCCTAGTCCTTGCTTTCATGGGGTTTGCTGTTAAACAAGGTAGGCAGACAGTATTAAAATAGAGCAACGAAAGTAAAACCATGGTTGAGGCAAGTCTCTCTAAAGGAGGAGGCATGGTCTCCAGGGATGACTTGATGGGAGAACTTAGCCTTGCCGGAGGGCTAGGCTTTCCTAAGGACTGGTGATTAAGCAAAGATAAGAGGAAAGCACAGGACCTACAGGGGGACAGGGCAAGTGAGACACTATGGAGGGGCCTGGAACAGGAGGCAGGGACCGGCCACTGGGGAATCTGCCAGAAATCTGCCAGGAATCTGCATTTCTCCAGTGAGCAACAGAAAGATGGGTGAGAGAACATTTGATTTTCTTATTTACACTCACTTCCCAAATTTACCTCTGTTCTTTTATAGCAGGAAATGGTGTTTGAAGAATCAAAAAAATGGGCATTCATAATTTTTTTCAATTTTTAAAGATATGGTCTCACCTTGTCACCCAGGCTGGACTGCAGCAGCGGGATCATAGTTCACTGCAGCCTCAAACTCCTGGGCTCAAGCAATCCTCCTACCTCAGCGTTTGGGACTACAGGTGTGTGCCACCATGCCTGGCTTCTTTCATAACTTATTGAGTAATTATGCTAGATGATGGGGATACAACTGTCATCAAGATTGACATGCTCTCTCTTATTTTATATCTCACCAATCCTCTAGGAAAGGACTTGGGAGGTACCACAATGGATACCAAAACACCTCATTTTTTTAATAAGCACCATTTAGATGGGGACAGTCATTCCAGTAATGCCTTCCTAGTTGTAAAAGCCCTCACCTAGACTCCTTTGGTGGCAAATGAAACCCCTTGGTGTAGAACACTCCTTGTAAGTCTCAGCCTCTAAGGTTGGGACCCATGAAACTCTTGGGATTCTGGTACAAAACCAACTCTGTAATAATCTAGCAGCCATTCCCTTAACACTCTTGGTTGAAAGAAATGAATGAAAGCCCAAGCAAACACATGAATGTATGTGAAAAAAAGGGAATTTTCACATGTAACAGGCAGTCTTCTAGAGGTTTATGCTTCAGCTATTAGTCTAAGTAGTGGGCTTGATACAGAAAATGAGGATAGGTTAATACAATAAACAACCTTCCTGCTAGCTGCTCCACAAAAGGTACCAATAAGAAGGCCCTGCCATGAAATGTGTTTGTGAACATATTCCTGGAATGGGGCAGGAGGCCTGATGTCTGAGTATTTTGTGGGTTGAGGAGAAAGGAAAGGCTCCTTTAAGAGGCTCACACTCCCAGTCGCCACTTCCACGACACTTGGATCACCAATGGGGATTAGTGGATTATTTACCAAACTGGATCTTGGACGTGGGCAGCATCAGGCAGTGAGCATGGAGCTGAGGCGACAAGTCCCAGCAGCCTCCAGAGTGAGTAGGTGGACGATAGCCTCACAAAGCCACAGTCGGGAAATTGTGTGCCACTTCTCTCCTTCCCATGGCATCAACAACTAGAGCTGATTATATTAGAACTCCAAAATCTGGGACTGCGCAGCACAGAGAGAAAAGCGACATGACCCCAGACAGCCATCTGAAACAAATCATGTCTTTTAGTCCCTCCAGTACCCCCGCCCCCAATTTAATGGG